ACGAGGTATTCGATCCAGAAGGCGGAGACCGAAGGTGAGGTTCACTGCAAGCAAATTGCTCCCTTGAACCCTGAACAGGGGCAACCTCCACAATTCTCCGTTGTTCCTCTGTATCAAGCAGGTAAACGTCTTCATGTCCTTCAACAAACCCAGGGTGCTTTGCGCGAATAAGGATAGGAGTAGGGGCGTTTCGCTCCCAGATGTCACGTGGCAGTCAAGGATACCGGGGAGTAGTGGGTCCTTACCATCTCCCTTCTCACCATGATACTCACACCGGATGCAGAACGACAAACGTCGATCACCCAAGGTCTTCGTCATGCCACCAAGTCCTCTGAACTGAATGCCTTCTTGACTCAACCAGGGGAACTCAAAACCCAGTTTGGCCAGTTTCATCTGGGCGTTGTCACTCCATCTCTTCCCGCAAACTGAGCTATTCGCACCATCGTCCAAAACACCCCAAATATCTTCGTGATCGTAAATATCCACTTCCGCAAGGGTCAATGGAACCACTGAGGGTAGGGGGCCGGCTTTCATTGACATGTATGCTGCACTTCCCCCATTGGTCCTTCTCCGGTCTTGCGATCCGAAGTCAGCTGCCCGTTGCGGTGCAGCTCTCGACATCTCGCCAGGCGACGCTCTGACGGATGACGGAGATTCCTGGGATACCACCGCTGCTTCCACTACATCATTGAGAATCTCGTGTAGGTCCTTCGGGGAAATCCTTGGGTCGTCGATACCCTCGACATTCTGGGCCACTGAACAATCTTCGACTTGGGACCTGAACTCATCCAACAATGTCATGATCTGTGTTGCATCCAGACTTGCTTCATCGAGCACATTCCTAGAAATGTTCGAGATGAGATCAAACGAAGCCGAAGTCGCAGTTTCAAGTTCCTGCGCAGCCTGTCGCCTGATTCGGGCTTCTTCCTGAGGCATCTCATCTATCACATGACCACAATCCTTGCAGAAAGTCTTCATGATAGCCTTGTTCGAGCCCAGTCTGCTGGTGTTTGCATGCCTGCACAATGTGGGGTCCTTCTTCTCGAATGTCTTCTTCTCCTTTGACACCTTCCCACACACCCTGCAGGTCTTCACCGTGACATAGGCGTTCGTCCCTAAGTACGAAAAGTTAGTGCATGTCTGACAACTCACAGGCATGGGAGGATTCGGGGGCCTGCTCTTGGCTGTCACATGGGAAGATGCTGCTGGCACCGCAACACTTTGCTGGGCTGACGCTCCAGGCATTTGCGGCATCTCATCTAGGGGAACATCTCGCCTCATTACCTCCATGTTTTCCTCATTCACGATGTAGTAATTCTGAACCCAATTCAGAAATTCCGCCAAATCCCGAGATCCTGCCGGCTTCAATGACCGTCCCCAGATGACATATGCAGTGTAGCGGTGAAGAACCTCCTCAAAACTAAGCCCGCGGTGCTGACCGACAGTGAAGACACGATCCCCTCCAGGAGGCACTGCGTCTCGAGCGGCATTCCTGGCTGTCCTTGGAGCTCGGACGCCTTCCCTGCGATAGGCCATGTACGCTTTGGGGCTACCGTCTGAAGGGCCGCTATCAATGTACACACACTCCATGTCATCTTCGCTCTCACTAGACACTGGGATCCCGACTTCGATCCCTTGGAATCTCCCTTGGACTTGCCCTTGCTCTCCGAACCAGACTGCGATTGGGACACTGAGGGTCTCCACTCCAATGTCCTGTCTGTCCACATCGGAGGCAACGGCTCTTAGCTTTGAGTTCCTTGAGTTTCTCTTTCCTCTCTTCAACCGACAATTGCAAACGACTGCGCGCTACCGGAAATCCTTTCCCCTTGCCACCGGATGATCCTTTGGCCTTTACTGCCTTGCCCAATGCAACATAAGCGGCACATTGCAACTGAATCGCCTCGCCTGTGGCCTCGGGAAAGTTCTCGTAGTCGCAATCTTCCATCGCGTTCAAAGCGACGGCAACCTCGCTGTCGGAAACGACCATGTCTTCTTCGGAAGCAACATATCCTGGTGAACCACCTGGCTGATCAGTCCAAGCGTTCCACCCCACATCTGCGGCATCTTCCTGTACCTCATCTTGGTACCACTCATCATCGTAATGATCATCTGCCCTATGTTCTTGCGATACATAGGCTGAATCGAAGACATCACTCACATAAGCGGTTGTCGCTGACCCTGATGAACGGCTTCCAAACTTACCTGATACCTTCGGCTGCCATCTGCGGGTATCTCTATCGAATCTGGGACTTCGAAGGGGTGTTGAATCAAGTAGTTTGTTCCCTCGCAAGTGAATCAACCCATGATGCTCAGTCATGATCTTTGCATATGTCTCAAAATCATGGGCACCTCCTGCACAAGCCTTCACCATCAGCTGCTGATCACGTGACAACCCGCTTAACTCGAGCAACAACTCTGCCCTCAAACTATCCGACAGAGATATCCTCGGATCTAGCTGCGTCATCAAGGTCCACCATCTGCGCCTCCTTCCTATGTAGGAAACAACTGATTCCCCGTCCTGACGACTCAAAGGACCTCTAATGGCCTGCCCACTGCGAAACAAGGCCTGGGCCTCCAAAGTACCTAGCGGAAAGACCATTGCTTTGATCTCGGAGATCAAAGTCCTCAGCCCACCGGGTCCTGACAGGGTTGCGATTCCAATGTCCTTAGCCTTCTGAAAGGCATCTCCTCTAAGACCCTCCATGACGCGAAGAACAGTTTCCACAGCCCCATCATCCCCATCTGAGCTGCTTTCATGTGCAACCACACTGGCCGCCGGTGAGTCAGGAACAGGAATGGTGGGTCTCCCTGACGCAGTCGCCGGTCTCCCGGCATCACCCCCTTCGGCTGGAGCGCTCGCTTCCGCCTGAGGTGTTCTTTCCTCTCTTCCTTGCTCAGGACCACCTGACGAGAACGAAGTGTCTTTCTTCTCTCTCTTCTCCCTCTTCTTTCGGCGCTTCTCCTGTTGCTCATTTGCCACAATACGCAATTCGGTTCTGAACTCCCACTCATGGTAATCTGCAGGGTTCCCATCGAAAATGAACACTCCATTCTTTGCAACACTGGGCGTAGAAGAATACGCTTTGTTTCGGAATCTGAGGCCTGCAACTGTCATGCCCAAACTCCTTCGTCAGATCCAGTCACTGAACAAACCAACTGTTTTACTGTTCTGCGAAAAAACGTTGCCTCGATCTTACGATTCGGGGACTTCTCTTCTCACACTCCTCTCAAATACAACCAGTCCAAAGGCCAGCTGGAACTACCCCCTGCACAATGAGGGGAGCAGCTCCGCTACCAGTTAGCATTCACTCGCGCTTCGGACTCTACCTTTTCTGCCACAGCTCAAGGGCCCTTCGAGAGGTAACAGCAACAGCACATAAAGTGTACAACATGCAAGCTGCTGCTGCTCCTAAACCTACACATGAAAAGGCACGCACTCAAGCTACACATGCAAGAATCGAGGTGATATTCACAGATATTGAAGCGTTTGGGATTTGAGCAATTTGTTGGAATACCCTCAATCTTGAAGCACAAAGTGAAGAAGATTGCATGCAGTGTCGATTCATGTCGACGATGAGCTAGTCGCAGGGGCGAAAGGAGAAGGAAAATGGCTGATACGCGAGCTAGAGAAGTTCTTCAAGCTCACAGTTGAGGGACCATTCCCATCCCACCGGGGATCGGGAGAACAGCTTCATTACTTGAAGAGGACCTATGAGTTCCTTGAGGAAGGAATTTTGGTGACAGTATCGAAGAAGCATTACGAGAAGCTCAGAGGACTCTACAAGCTGGGAAACAGAAAGCCGAGACAAACCCCAGAGCACCAGCTGATTGGAACAGTGGATGATTCCAAAGAGCTAGAGGAGAGCGAGTGCAAGAAATTTCGTTCAGCATTGGGAACACTGTTGTATATATCCCAAGACCGATGGGCTTTGCAGCATGTGACAAAGTGTTTGGCAAGCAAGATGTCTAAACCAACGAAACAAGCTTTAACCTGTTTGAAGCAAGCTTTACTCTATGTGCAAGGAACAGAGCAACTGGGATTCCTACTGAAGTACACAGAAGATCTCCATCGTCACGTGATCAAAACAATACGCACACGCACCCGCACACACACACACACACATACAAGTATCAAGAGAAGATAATATATATATATATATATAGATGCTAGATCACACGCATAAGGGATCCCTGCACAGGAAGCACACTACGAGAAGTTGAAGCCGGCAATGGAGCACATGCCAAAACCAAAGCCCAAAGATATCACCTAGAGCATCTATAACGAGGCTGTCGCCACCGTCTGCCGCAAGCAAGCCCCCCCGGCTGCTCCCGAGACCGCTCGGCACTCAAAAGCTTCACGAATGCCACGACCGAGAACCGAATCGAAGCCCTCATCTGCTTCAGCTGCGCGTGCATCCACACACGCGTGGACGAAATAAACGAAGCCAACAGCATCGACTGGTACCCCATCCTCGAATCCCTGGATTCAAAAGAAGAAACAGAGGCAAGAACGAGCCGGCCTCTCAATCTCAAGCTGTCGATGCTTGCGCCCAGACCTTACAGACCTTACACCTTCAGACCTCAGGGTTTAGGGTTTAGGGCATTTTCAAACCTGTGCTCACTGGCTCCAAAACTGACGAAATATTTCTTATTTCATCTGGTACGTCCTACTTGCAAGTACTCGAGTAAACTTGAGTGATGCCTCCCAAGAATTGACCATCCGACACCTTCGATGTTCCTAGAACTGTGAATCCTGTATCAGATACAAAGACAAAGCCCGTCAAACATCAACAGCCAAAGCTACAGAACCCTCAACGATGAGAAACTTCGTAGTACTTCAGTACTTCTATCTCCCTGTTCATGCATCAGTCTGCATGAGTCTGCATCCCGAAGGGGGGGGAGCTTTAGGGGGCTTTAAAAAGCAAAAGCTTGGCTTTAGGAGCACTGTTGAGGAATCCCAAAGAGGCGCACAGATCGGACTTTTGCCAGTTCAAAAGGATCTATTGACATCCTTGCCAGATTGTGAAGGATTGCAGCACCACCTCTGCAAAATCGCCATCGAACTTTTCATTCTCATCCGCGCGCAATGCGGCTTGACCTCGCGCACATTGAACCAAAACAAGAGTTGAGAGCCCTGGCACTGACCGTAGACCACTACTCAGTCGCTACTCCTCACTCCGACGCTTCTCTGACGTTTCAGCCTAGGTCTCTTTGCGAACTGCACCGCGCAATTGCAATAGACTCTTGAATCAAGGCGAATAGCCTGGCTACGGCACTTTGAACTGAGCCCTGGACAAATCGGTATGTGCTGATTGCTGTCGAGCCAGCTTTGGAATTCGTCCAGCTTCAGCGGCTTGGTATTCACAAGCTGTGAGGACCGATACAGAATTAGGGCCAGCTGCCAAAGAGCAGTGCCTCTAGGGTCAGCCCGGCCTCTGGGGTATGTAAACTCAATGACGTTTGGAAAGTCTAATCGTGAGGGTGGCTGTTCAACAATGCTCTCCAAGTCCAGCAAACGTGTGAAGCCTTCATGCAAGCAAATGTTGGGGAAACGCACGTCGCAATGGGTAAGGCCGGTCTTCAATAGCTGACTAAGTTGCCGAACGATGCCCTCCAGGATGTGCGGGTTGGCACGTACATCTTCCTGTGTGAGCTCATTGCAAACCATTTTCTCTGTGATGGTGAGGGTGACGCCACTGAACTCTGCGCTATACCAATAATAAGGAAAAGTCGCCCAGTCCTTCCCAGAGAATTGCAGGTGCATGGTCATTTGCGCGATTCGAAAATCCTTTGCAGAAACCAATCGGCGGTAAAGCGGGCCTTGCAACTTCAATACCACCGTGTCAGGCTTGGCTTGGTTCTGCGCGTTGACACGGTTGACCAGGCTGGCACGCGCGCCGAGCAAATCTATGTACTTGATGACGGCATTGATGTCCCGAAACGCTGCCTGAATAGGGCTAAGCGAAACACGGCAATTCGCAAGCATTCAAAACAAGTAAGCATTGTCTTGAGGGTTTGGGAAAGCATGTTTGAGTGCCTCAAACAGCACCCCTTGGTTGATCGGCACTCCGAAGCCAAAGTGGTGCAGGATTGGGCTCCCCAGCAGTTTCAGCTTCCAACCTTGCGGCACCAAACCAATCTGGGTACTGTTGGTGACGGACTGCGCGATGCTACCATGAGGATTTGTCTTGAAGCAATGTGCTGCACGAAGACCAGTGGCCAGCACGCGAACGACAGTTGCAGCGATCTCTTGGTTGCTTTGCACAACTGCTGGGCAGCAGTATGTCCAACGATCAAACATGACAGGTTTTGTACCTTCCACCAACAAGCCGGCTGCATCAGCGGAACACCCTATTTTGCGGCCTGTTATAAGGGCAGCTAAAGAATGGTCAACTGGCAATTGCAGACTTTCCATGCAAGGCACCTGCCATCCGAAAAGGTATGCAACGGTCTGCGCAAGTGGCCCCTTTGCCATTTTCACTGGTTCGTCGATTACTTCTTTGCCCACCTTCAACTCGACCACGCCCAGACACGCTGATGACTCTTGTCCAAACTTGTTGTGAGTTAGAAGTATGCCAATATCAGATCTGGCCATTGGCACAGTTGCCAATGCTACAGGCAGGCTTTCGAAACACGCCGTGCAAGCTGTGATTTGCTGACGAATTTCAACCTTGAAACCACAATCTTCCACAACTAGAATTCTCTTTGCGCCGTGGTCGTACTGCAAGCCAGTGAGCTGGGCAATTTGAACCATGAGCGACTTCTCGAAGTCTGACTCTTGCGCAAATTCGTGGGCAAATTCTTGCGCAAGCTGAGTTGCAGCTGTGTCCAATCGGGCCGCCACACAACTCGGATTCCTTCGCATGTCGTTGAAAACTTCAAAGAAAGCCGCGAGCTCTTCCTGCAATGTGAGCAATGGCGCAGAGTTTATGGGCTGGTAAAAGTCATTCCCGACTAGGGCAGATACCAGGCTGCCAACAGCCCTGGCAGTTGATTCGTGATTGCTTGGGGTAACAGGCATAGAGTTGGCCTGCCTCATTACCATCCGAAAGGTCTCACCACTTCCAAGTCTTGTCGCAAATAAGTTCCGTTGCGAGAGAAAAGCTGGCCACAACAGATTCCACGCAACCTTGGAAAGTTGGCTTAGCAAGATAAGGCACGCAAATCCTGAGCGCCGCATTGCAATTTTGCCACAGTGAGCGGGCGGCAAAAGAGCCGAGATGGCTGTCGCAGCACCGCAGACTCTGAAGCCACGTTTTACCCCAACTGTGTTGCATCGTCCGGGCTTCCCGCTCCCTTCGCGTTTCTGCAGCTCACGCCCTAAAGCCTTCAAACCCGTCGAATGATAGTGAGCTGCGAACAGACTTTAGCAGAATGCCAGAGCACAGATGAGCAGTGCCTTGCGGCCCATTGCACAGCCGTCGGTCGGCGCGGGAGAATGCTGAGTGGCTTAGCTGAGCAGTCACTGTAGCCTAGGAGTTGCTGTAGGAGCGACAGCTTCCCTAACTAAGGAGCAGTGGGATGTCAGTGGTGCAGTGCCAATGCTGGTGCTCGTGCCAGGGCTGGGAGCTTCTTGTGCTGGTGCTGGTGGTGCTGGTGCGTTTGCCAGTCCAGCTGCGGTGCTTGCTGCGCGTCTGCTGGTGTAAGAAAATGGTTCTATGCCTATGCAGCCGTGGTAAGAATAGTGTGGCATCACATGGGTTTCGCAGAGTCCGGAGTGCGTCCACGCTGATGTGATGCAATCATGAATGCCATGAGTTCCAAATTCGACGAAACTTGCACACGAGAGTTTCAGAGCATGACGGACCCCTGGATCATAGACAATAGACCCTACATGGTAGGATCCTTGTTCTAAGGACAGACCCCTACATCAGCTACCCTAAGTTTTGAAACATCATACCTGAGCCAGTGAATCGAATCGCCAACACTAAGGTTTGACCACAAGAGCTAGCTTGACTTTATTCGAGAGCCCACACTGAAGAGTCGCGAACATGTCGGATGTCCCAGCCGATGTACAGTAGTCATTGGCGGGTCCTCTCGAGTTTAGTGAAAGAATCATATAGAACTTCCGTTTCTCCCTTTATTCGGAGCATTGTTTACATATTGTCTACTATTCAATCTAGTGCATGACATATTTAGGAAGGGCTCATGAACATATTCGAGAGGTTATGAAAGACGCCGATGATGCTTGTCATTGTTTTTGACGGAATATTATATCCCGAAGCTTGAATCTCTGGGCCTTGAGCCGACAGAGACCCGCGACTCGCCAAACACGACGCCTCCGGCGACGAAACGCACAGTCGGCAAGGCTAAAGCTTTTTTAAGCTCTTCTCAAAAGGCCACGGCCACTGTTTCAGAAGCCAACTGCAGCTCAGCGTCCAGGTTAGCATCGGATTCTCGAAGTACTGGCCCAGCAAGGAGCATCTTGATACTCAACGGTCTCAAATCTCCATAGAGTCGACGGCAAATCTGCCGTGCCCTCACCATCAAATCTACCTGGGAGCTATCTGCACAAACAAAGGGCAAAGCGACCTCCAGCAGAATGGCCTTTATCACCTGAGTAAAGGTCACCTGGTCCACCTGTGTAGATCTAGAAGCGCTTATCATCTCAGCTCCACTGGGAAATTGGAAACGGGAGTCTCCAATCACAGGCAAGACTTTGGCATCAGGAATCCTCGCTTGGAGAAGCCAACGAGCAAATTCTTCAGATCGGAAACAGTTCTCGGTGAGCAGCAGCACGATGTTGAGATGCTCCTTGGACACATCGTCTTTCTCTGAAAAGACACATGGAGACAAGCCCCTCTCCGGCATAACCTTGACCATGTAGCGGGCCAGGACGACGGCAGATGCCATGGCATCCAAGTTTCCAGGGTCTGCCAGAATAATGTAGTCTGCATAATCCATCGAGTTCATGCGCGCTGAATCCGGCGGACGTGCGCAACTGTTGCTCAGTGCGTCGGCCAACTCAACCACGTGCGGCATTGAGAACCTTTCATCCACTGTCACTTGTCTCACGCTTCTTAACCATTTCAAAGCATCTTGCACTTCTCTCAATCCCAGGCCATAAACGGCCAATTCGACGATCTCCGGCACAATGCTGTCGTAGCTGTTGATAAAGGCATCGTCCGGCATTTCGAAGGAAGGGAAGCGCAACACTAGCGTTTCTACGCACGCCAGGTGAGCTGCGGCCAGCTCTCCCATGCACCACATGCGCTGGAGAACCCCTGGTGTGGCCACTACAACGAAGGTCTGAGTGTCGCTCCTCACCTCGGCATTCATTTAGTTGATTACAAGAAGCGCTTTCGGACTGTCTGGCAGGCCAAGAAATGCTTTTGAAGTTTCGCCCTGAAAAAAAACAGTCAAAGACGGCAATCCACAGTTTGCTCTGCCTCCCCAACTAGTCTCTGTTTCGTTGAAGCTCGTAAAGCTCCGAGTGGCAAAGGAAAAGAGCCTAGAAAGATCTGTGAGATTGTCGGCATCGATGAAGGCACTGAAGCCGCGAGACGTCAGCTCCATCTTCATCAGTCGCACAAACCCAGACGAGGACCTCGCAAAAGAACGGGGAGTTCTCGAATAGTTCTCGTGTCACGGTGGTAGCTGAATGACTTGTCTTGGCACGGTATGCGAGGACCTATGCATATTTACATGTAGAAATACATATATATATATATACTTTTTTTTAAGACTCACTTCTGCCTGAAGGCAAAGTGCAGGTTCAGAGCTTAGCCGGGTATATCGGGAAGTGGCGACCTTGCCTCGCCGTGGCCACGAGCCCGGGCCGAGGCGTGTCACGTAGCAACAAAAGATGATAAAAATTAGGGGCAGTGCAAAGCAAGCTGGAAATTGCCGTTGGGACCTCGTTGTTGTCTCAAGTAGTTGGACAAGGATGAGTTTTACTATTATAGAGGGTCTGTGACCGAGTATATAGGCGATACATATCTGGTCCAGGTGACCCCCTTTGGTGGCAAAGAAAGAAGGCGTACTTCTTGCGGAGCTTGGAAGCGACGTGCTGTAACGCCAAGTAGGCTGCTGCCACAAGCACTCCAGTGATCAGGAGTGCGGCACAAAAACTACAAAGAATCATGATCCCTTCGTTCGAGCCCTCCAAGTCTGCTGCAAAAGCACTCAACAGCAAAATGATCACCAAAATGGAAGTAGTCATTGTGTCAAGTTGTGAAGCTACCAATGAGCGCCATGGTTTGAAGTAAGCGCTCATGACCAAACTGAAGATCAGCAGGTTCCCCATGATGAACAAGGAAGCTGCTGTAGGTGCAATGGGCGTCAAGACGAAGATGAGATTTCTCACCAAGAAGATCACGGTGAAATGCTCGAAGCCTGGTTTGAATCGCATGATCAAAAAGGAGAAGGCCCTGATAAACTCAGCATCCGCTTGATGAACTCGACGAGGAAGCATCACCAGCAAAACATAGGAGCAAATCGCCAGGAAGCTTAGTGGAAGGAGGCACACCACTCCACTAATCACACACATGTTGAGGTGAGTCCCAGAAAAGCTACAGAAAACTGCGTGGTTGGTCTGCAAAGTCTGCACGCCACTCGGGTGCATATTGCACCGGAAGGGCTCCAGAAATGTTGAGCACAGGGTGATGTAGAAGAGCAAAGCAAGGAATCCACAAGTCTTCATCAAAGCCATTCGGCTACCCAGGTTTCTCAGCAAAGGAAGCATACTCATCACCCCAGAAGCACCTACAGGCCCCACCACGAAAGCGAGCGGCACCAAGAGAGTCCGCAGGAGTAGATTCACCTCGGCACTCAAGCGAGTGACACAGCTGAGACTCTTCAAGGAGTCGAGGATGGTGTCCAAGGATAAGAAGTGGAAGATCTGGAGAAAGCTCGCCTTAGCTGCTTAAGAACGACACAGGCTAGCACCAAGTTACCATACTATGCTGAATGTGTGCTAACCTCTCTTCAACAAACATCACGGATGGGGGATGCCCTGCATTCAGATATACAACCGCTTTCTTTCGCAGGACTGGTCGCAAAGGGATCGGTCCAGTTGATACCTTGCACTTGTTCCATGACGGAAAAGAGCTGAGCGCAAGTGACGAGCTGATTCAAGCACAAGGCAGCAGCAAGGAGCCGGCCCTGCGTCGCACCCCTGCTCTGATACACAAGCGATAGCAAGAGGTGCAAAGCGGCTGTTCCAACCAGAACAAACAAACCAACAAAGACCAGCTGCACCTGAGATCCAGAGCTCCATTTCTCCAACAGTGAACGGAACATGGACTGGAAAAAAACCCCACAGCAAAACAGATTGGATGGTACTTGCCAGCAAGAGACGTAGTCTCCACCACTGCATTCAACACACTCGACACCTGAGAGTGCTAAACATGCAAAACCTATTTAATGTGTATATAAAGATTCAAGATATATATATATATATATATACAACATATGTATATACAATCTGAACGATGCCCAATGTTTGTGCGAATCAAGGGCTTTTCGAGACACCCTTTTGTCCCAAAACCGCCCAAACCCACAACATCTTCTCAACATGTCTAAGTCTTTCGGCATCTGTCAGCAGAAAGCACAACCTTAAATTGGCTAGACCGATTCGAGCTGCCCTTGGGCTGCAAGTTCTCCAAGCACTCGCTACACGAAATGGACGTGGGATCTCGTCCAGGAGCGCAGCTTCCTGGAGTTCCGCCCGGGCAGCGCGCCGAATCTCCGAAGCACTTCATCACCGCTCCTGGATCACCTGACGTGCTTGTTGAAGGCCTCTTGGCTGGGATGCTTTTAGTGAACAATGCGTGCTTTTGAAAAACTGTGGTTCGGTCGCGCTTGGGTTGACTGCAGCCTCACCATTTTTCACCAGGAAAAACTGAAGGCAAAGTTGGGCCGAACACAGAAGCCTTCCCTCTCTTAAGTTGCATGTCATCATGTATAGGTAACCAAAGAACCACATGCCAGAAACTCAAACGTCATTGCTTGTCGCACAGTCGCGCTCAGTGGAATGATAACCTGGAAGAAGCTCCAACATGCCAGATCCCTCGCAGGAAGCACCCTCACTGCAAAGTTCACACTTTCCATGCCAAAAGTATCGGCCCGGAACACAGTGACAGAACTCTGCTGAGGCAGCTCCCTCAAGTTCGATCCAACGCATCGAAGCACCGCTGAGAACTGCCTTGCTGGTTGTCCAGGTCAGGCCGCCGCAGGAGGAGCACTCGACCGCGCCACTGATATTACTATAACTGCCCCTTCTGCATAGCGAGCAAACTGCTTCACCTGGTTCAGGAGCGAAGGTGCCTGGATCGCAAGGGAAGCAAGCAGTTTGGCCAGCGGTGCTTTGATGGAAGCCTCGATCACATGCCTCGCAGTAGTAGGTTGGCCCAAGCTCATCAGACATGCCCTTGGAAATTCTTCCGGCTGGGCAAACGAGGCACTGCGTGGCCTCAGCACGAGATGCCACCGGCAAACCTTGAGCATCCATGATCCCAAAGCCACTGACACACTCGGTTGCACTCGGTATCCACTCCTTCCACACTTGAGGGTTTGCCTTGATCCACTCACAAGCGTTTTCCTGCAGTGCTGTCACTGTGTCTTGTACGTCTCCGGGACGATTTTGCATTGTCATCAGCGGGATCAGTTGGGAGGTTTCAATCGACATCTTTTGAAGAAGCTTCCCCACCCCGGGGGCTGAAAGGCGAAGAGTTGCGCTGGCCAATTTGGCAATGTAGATGGATGTCGAGGCTGTACGGTAGTCTCCAGCCTGCCAAGCCACTCGGCTGTGCTCTGGAAAAATCACCCTCACTGACTCCGGTATCACCCCAGAGGCATCTGGCTCGTAATGGTAGAAAAGAATCCGCAAGTTGTTTGCCAACCAGTGTTGCTCTGCAGGGCTGGTGGCGTGACTAATGGCCATCGGAATTCCATAGGCTGTGGCCCATTGCATAGCGAATGCCTGACTCGGTGGTGTCGACCAAGGGGACTGGTTTTTGTGCATTCCTCACACAAACAGTTCTCAAAAACAAAAAGGAAAACTTTACAGGAATTGTCTCGAAAATGCTGTGGCCCCTTGCCCTGCCATGATCACGGGGATACATTCAGAGTAGTTTTGCCGGCACGCAGGCGCAATCCAGAAGGCAGGATGCTCAGCAGAACAGCGCCCTATGAACTGACCATTCTGCTGCAAGACTCCGTCTGAATCCCCTGTCCAATGCAAATAATTCTGCATTGTACTGGAGATGAAGAATTCCAGTGGTTGACTCAAGAAAGGCTCGTCACAATTGGACAAGTTGCTTACAGGCACCTCCCAGATCTTGTGGAAGTACTTCTGAGGTTCGTGGAAGCTCAAGTTGTAGCTGGTGTAGTACTCAAGAGGAAGGCCAACCTCCTGAAACGCTGCTTCCCGTACAGCTCGGGTCACATAGAGTCCATCCTTGCCTTCGTACCCCATCGAACCCAAGTCTTCAGGCGCCACAAGCCTGTTCTTCACTCGGAACTCTTCGAAGAAGAGCTGCACCGGAGACAGCCAGGTGTCCAACATGATGTGAGCGCTTTGTTGAGGCACTTGGCACTCCATATCCCGGCAACCAGCTAATTTGAAGATACCTTCATTGGCCCAAAAGATCATTTGTGGATCCCTTTCGACATGGTAGCCGAGAACTTCGGACACCAATGTCTCCACCACCGAGCTCAGCACAATCGCAGACTCCCACAGGAAGACCACAAAGCGGATCGGACCTTGAGCGGTGGCATTGATGTTGATGTAGTGTCGCTCGTTTTCGGGGATTGCGTCGATCAAGCAGGTTGACTCGGCATGAGCGAGCAGAAGCGCGAGAATCACCAACCACAAAGCGCACAAAGCACCGTGTCGGACGGCCTTCCCAAGTGGATTCTGGTCTTTGAAGATTGAACCATGAACTGGCACGTTTCTTTCTACAACTTGAAAGGAAGCTCGAAAACCTCCCACATGTTGTCCGAGTCTGTTGAAGATTCTAAACAGGGCAAGGGAGAGGAGTCCTTCAACACCAGAACTGCCGGTTTCCTCGATGATACGACCAAGATCGACACTTCCCTTGGCCTGGGAGAGCTACGTACAACATTTGGAACAGCACACCCTTCCAAAGAACCCTGATGCACCTTGACCATGCAATCGCTGGGGACAAGGTCTGCTGACCGCCTATAAAGTTTACAGTTTCTCTGCGATGACATAGAATGCCATACTAATGCCATGCGCTGTGCCGATACACCCATACGTACGTACATACATACATGTACCAGCACAAATTATATGTATATATATATATATACACATATACATGTGTGTTTTGCATACCTATGATGAAAATACACAAGTTAAAAGTGGGCTACGTACCTGCTAGCCTGCTGAATATGTTGTGACTGAATGTCAGACATCCATGATTCTCAGGGCCGATAGCGGGAATCTCGAATGCCTTGAAATTTCTCATGGTTGACAAGCCAACGTCGCCGATATTAAAATCAATGCTTGTGCAAAAGACGTGGACGTAGACAAGCCTTGGTCAGCTGAGAATGACTCCACGTTGCGCAGACAAAGTATTCCACAGGTCACCACCCGAAAACCGAAAAGCCCACACCGGCGTCTCCCCCTCGAAGTTGCCACAAAGTTGGGAATTGCTGCCAAGACAGAAAGTTCATTGAAGTGTTCTACGATGCCCCTAACGAGACTAGCAACAACCAAGCAAGTCATGCAATGGTAAATCAAGATTTGATCTCAATTTCCCTGAGGACATCAGCGGATGCTGTGGAACAATGGCCATGGAAGCCGCAGCTGTGGGAGCGGCAGAGACTTGGCACTCCGCCCCCAGATGCGAATGTCGCGCGACTCTACCTCTACCATTCTGAAGCACGCCAGGAACCTGACCGTCTGCAAGGCGGAAGGCGCGGCAAGCCGACAAAGCGACACGAGACATGACGGCACGAGTCCCGAGCACACGAGACACCTCAACACCACACTCGACACAAGGCGCGACACTCGACACACACCAGACCCGAAGCACGACACAAGACACGAAAAAGCTTGCTGCATCCACTGGCCTGCCACGACACGCCTCGGGTGGAGTTCCTCCCCAGCTGGCTGCATTCACAGACCCGCCACGAACCCAATGACGCTAATGACGCGCAATGCCTGTGGAATTCCGACAGTTCAAAAAACATTCACAGCCTTGCCGGACGTAGACAATTGGAGCAAAGGCGGTGCCAGGGTGCGTCTCACCTGCCATCACCTGACTTGCGCGACTCACACAGACTCCTTTTTGATGGAGGAAGGTCGCCAGACTTTGTCGCTGGAACCATATTACGTTCAAAACTTCAGGCCGTCGGCAATCTCTTGCCACCGCACCTGGTCTAATTTCATGCCGACTGAGTAAGAACGTCTGGCACACATGCACGCTGCATGCATCTCACTGTGCCTGCGCCAAAGCTCAAAAGTCTGGCTTTGGGTAGCCAAAAGCTTCGTAGTCTGCCTTGAAGTACCTTAGTGCAACAAATCATGAAATGCCGCTGTGGGAGCGTCGCAATGCCAGTCAGGAAGCAGTAATTCAACAACAAATCTTCTTCTCACCCTGAGGTCATGGGTATGTCATGGTAAACCCTCGACCCTGAGGTCATGTGGAGTATGTCGTATGGTATGGTGTCTTGTACCAGGCTGCTCAGGCCCCGTATGAGATCAACACCTGACACCGCCGAGAGCACCAGGAAGGGGGTTACCATTTCAAGGCTTGCGCTATATCTCCAGGTGAAATTTTTCCCCACGCATAACAAAATCCAGGCACCCAAGTAAGCGCATGCCTGCGGCCTGGCCGCTCATACACGGCTGCTTTGGTTTCCGGTCTCAGGTCAGCCACTGACATGTTGCAGATGTCTGTCCAGCTGGACATCAGGTGTTCTTCAGGCAGTTCCGCATGGCGACCATATTCTGCCATAAGTGCATCAAACCTGGCAAAAGTTCGAGGGCTTGTGTAACGGTGTAAGGTGTGCTGCTCTGTCTTCGAACAAATGTCCCGACAAACCAATACTTGGAAAACAAGCTGCTTGTTGTCGTTTACACCTTGCTTTGTTCTTGCTGAATGCAGAGACAGTTTCGAGAGTGGTTTCAAACTCTCAACAGAGTTTTGGTGAATTTTCGCATTTTGGCAAACCTGGTGGCGGTGATGTTTCACCTTGGCACTCTCTGCACATTTTGCACGCTGCCTGTCTTTCCATGTGGGGCCATCATGGGCCCTAGTAGACAGGACAGTTTCATTTTCGGGTGGACAAGCTGGCACCAGAAGACGAAGCCAAGAGTCTCCTGATCGAGGTTCTCCTCATGCAAGATCCGATCGCAATACTGGTGAGTCGCGGCAGACTTATTGGTCACGCCATATATGCTCCTCAATTTGAACGACCGCTCTGAAGCGAAGATGAGCTTTTCGTCTAGCAAAAGCTGCTCACTCAATTTTGAACAGCGGGGCATGGTATACAGCGGGACCTGTAGTAAAGAACCCGAAAGGATAACAATGTGAAGAAGTGATGGACAAATCCTCCAAAGTCTATCTGAGCTGCTCCACTTGCAGCATGAAGAAGCACTCGTGCTCGTACGGCCCTATAGCACTGGCACAGGATAGCAAAGTCTCCACACTCCCAACGGACACACGGGCCAAGTCTGCATCTTATAGCATGTATATATATATATATACTGTATATACGTATGTAGAGTATCTACTGTGTATATATTCGGGCTTGTCTACAAGTCTTTCCCCGATGGTGTTCGTTAATACGTTGTGCCGTGAGGCCCCGCCTTCTCAGCAAGCATAAACAAGGAGGCACGTCAAAACTCTAGCTAGTTTACAACATGACATTTGATGGAGCACCAGGACACGTCACTAGCACAAAGCTTTGCAACTTTTCAGCATGCAGGGAAAAAAGGAATTGTGCGCAACAAGGAAACCAGGGAGTACATACTACTAGCACCCGCGCTGGTGCTGCTGCTGCTGCTGCTGCTGCTGCTGCTGCTGCTGCTGCTGCTGCTGCTGCTGCTGCTGCGATAACTACTGCTTCTGCTACTGCTCTAGATACAACTATTTGCTGGCATTGTTGCTCTGGTGTCGTTTTTTGCAAATGTTTAGGGCAATTATGGGGCTTTGGTGTTTGGGGTTTGGGCTTCATTAGCGGTTAGGGCTTGGGGTTTCAAGGGTTCAGGGTGTGGCAACATCTGCTGGCTTGCACTGGCTTGCGCTCTTCATGGATATCTGGCGGGAAAACACAAAGTTGTCAATTGACCGCTGCGGAGCTAGCGCGAAACTGCCTGAAATTCCATGACACGGCTTTGCAAAAATCTTGAGCTCCAAAGGTGCAAGCTTTAAGGTTAGGGTAGGGCTTGGATCGTCACATGTCTTCAAAGTTTCTGCGCCGGCAATGTCTAAGTTTTCTACAGTCCAGCAGCGCGCTCGTCACCCTGCTCCATGAGCACGTTGCACATCGTGCCCTTTTGGGTGTTCTACTTTCGCAAGACCTCCAGGCTTGGAGCCCCATACCATACCCGACCTCATCCCAAACAGTGTTTGGCACAATAAGATTCTGTTTGAAGTCCATCCATCCACCCATCCATCCCCATCCATCCATCCACGCTGTATGGGACCATTACGGAATATGACGAGATATGGAAGTGATCTTGGGAGGGAATCATTATAATTTTCATAAGTGTAAATGTTCAAGGTTCAGTTTTTGTGACTTTCACTAGCGCTTATAACTATCGCTAATCTAGCGCCACCATGGTGTTCTTGGTCATTCACATGGCATGAAGACCCACCTTAAAACGAAGTCTGAAAACCTGCCCACAAAAACGTCATGGCCACATTTCTTGATGCTCTAACCGCTCTTTTTTACGAGCTCTCGTATATTCCAATACGAAATAGACTCTCTCACTCTATATACATATATATATATGTATATACATACATACACGCTTCATGTTTATACATTTTTCGCATATGATGCATGCAACAATTTGTGGATATCCCTTGCGCAGCAGCGAAGGACATGCGCAAGCTTTTTGGCATGGTGATGTTGTATGATGAGCATGCTGAAGTTGCAAGTATGTATAGTCTTAGTTTTCTCACACATACCTCCTCGCACCTCTTTATATGGAGTTTAACTGCTTGCACAGCGTCGGGTAGGCAAGTCGGACAGAAGCTCCCGTGCCCTCTTGTCTACGGACTCAGGATCACACGCCTGAGTGCCAGCTGCCAAAAAGACATCAAGATACATCTACACTGAACAATGGCACGTTCAGCGCAAACACTGCAAGTGTCGTGCCAAGTATCGTAAAACATCATTTGGAATGCGCTCCAGAATCGGGCCAAAGGCTCACGCACGACACAAAAAGTTGTGCAGCGATCCGCTTGGTAGTAAAGAGCCACGTCAGAACCTGGAAAACGAATCTCAGTCAATCTCATTCCCGCGCAGTTCACTCTTTTGATATTTGGTCGTCTGGGGTCAAACATAAGCAACAACTCGGCCCACAAGCTTGCGATAGCTTGCGTGTCCACTTCTACTGCTGCTACTGCTGCTGCTACTGCTACTGCTACTGCTACTCCTACTACTACTACTACTGCTGCTACTACTCCTACTACTACTACTACTACTACTACTACTACTACTACTGCTACTACTACTACTACTACTACTACTACTACTACTACTCCTACTCCTACTCCTACTCTTACTCCTACTCCTACTCCTCCTCCTCCCCCTACTCCTACTCCTTCTCCTACTCCTACTACTGCGACTTCGACTTCTACTCCTACTCCGACTCCACTTCTCCTCCTCCTACTCCTGCTCCTCCTACTCCTCCTCCTCCTACTACGACAACAACAACAACAACTTCTACTACTACTACTACTACTACTACTACTACTACTACTACTACTACTACTACTACTACTACTACTACTACTACTACTACTACTACTACTACTACTACTAGTACCACTACTACTACTACTACTACTACTACTACTACTACTACTACTACTACTACTACTACTACTACTACTACTACTACTACTACTACTACTACTACTACTACTAGTTCTACTGCTACGATTAGAAATCGGCATATTAGTACTAGTACTAGTACTAGTACTAGTACTACTAGTACTAGTACTACTAGTACTAGTACTAGTACTACTGCCACGATTACAAATCGGCATATCACGGGTAAGGGATTAAACTTGCAGGGGGTTAAAGCTGCTGTGGCACTCCGGGAGGGTGGTGTGTGTACATCCTCGCATTGATCTGTCCCTCCAGGTGGCAGCCAATGGTATAAACTTCGGTGCATCTTCTTGAAGGGCATATACACCAGGTCGCTTGAATGGGAGTAGTCAAAGAGATTTCCCAAGTCCTGATGCTTGGGACTGAGGGCCAATGATCTATGAGGATTTCGGGTCAAGCGAGTCGAAATGCATGTCAACCGAAGTTAAAATAAAATAGGTTCACGCTAAACTTCCAGTTCCCGGCTCCTTTTCATCTATCTGGTCCACTTTGGCAATTCGCTGATATGTGCGCAGCATGTAGGAGTCGAAGGCACGCTGCCGCGGCGGGAGGTGCAGGTTAGCCTTAACGGACATTGTGTGGGGTCTAAAGTTTAGGACCTTTGAGGGGTTGCTTTCGTCAGCTCGGGCAACACTGCAAAACATTCCATCTTGACCCCGCAATCCCGAAACGACAAAAACGTAATGAACTTAGACTACTTGAGCCCAAAGCCCCGACCCAGACCTAAATCCCAGCCCTGCAGCGGAATCGATGCTGGTGCCCCCAGTCCTCAGTTATGGGCTAGATAAAATTTGGGACTGGAGGTGCCAAGATCTATGTAACTGATAGTGACGGAAATTCATTTGGAAGCTCCTCTGAACCTGCAGGGCTGCCTTGGGCTGTTGTCCTTCACTAGCTCCCAGAAAGCAGGCACTTGCACTCGCAATATTGCGAGCTGAAACATGTACGAGCATGGAACTATTCTCGCAGTCTGCGCCACCCTCCACCGACTGCATAACATGGAATCATCCTATCTGAAATGTATACAAAACTTCGGTCTGGTTGCTTGGGTATGTGCATGAAGCGTAGGCAAGCTTCCGCCGGAGGTGACCTGGGCAATGTGCCTACAGCAAGCTAAAGTTACGCAACAAGTCCAGGTCTTAGTGGGTGTAGAACCACCAGCAAAGGTAAAGGATTGGATTTCGGGCACTGGCACTCTCGCGGCAAGCATTCTCCATAGCGCAATATTAGTCGCGATTGAACGTGCCAAGGCCATACACGACTGTGCAACCGCACTCCACGTTCATCCATTTTGAAAGAGGGAGTTAGCCAAGGACAGGTGGGCATCATGCCCAACATGTGTGCGCTCCAGCCTTTTTGAAGAGTCTAAGCTGTCGGCAGCACCACTTAGCGTGACCTGACGATGAAGATGATGCTTGAAGCATCTGGGGCGTGGCGTCTGTGGGTGGATGAAATGAGAGGCGAGTGGGGAGGGAGCACGCAAGTTCCCCGCGCGAGTGTGCGTGCGAGGATGAAGGGATTGTTGCCAGGTTGCGCAAATGAGGCCACACCCATCTGCAAGAAGTTGACTTCATTCATGTCCGGATCACCTTGCGAGTGAATGAAACTGCCATTGCCGAAAATTTCAAACCATACTTGCCCCACATGATCTTCCTTTGCAGGCTCGTAGCTGCATGAGCTGTTGCTAGAGGTCACCAAGGGCAGAGATGACAAAAGCACGAGGATCCGCATGGGAAATGAGGCTACCCTCATCCTCACGGTTCGGTCACTTCAGCTGAGCCTGAGCCGAAAATGCAAAAACAAATTGGAGATGGTCAGGCGGCTGATGCCATAGAATTTCCCAGCTCCCAGCAGCCATCACAATCCAAAAAAAAGTGCCCGAGTGCAAAAAGCACTTGAAGGGGGTGGGCGGGAGGTTGCAAACCCCTACTATTCGAGTTAAACCCATGCGCTAAAGAGCTGCTGCAAGGGTGGTTTACAGCATCAAGGGGTGTCTGTCCTTCGAACTAAAGTGAACTGATTCCCGTCAATTTAGTTCAAGTCATTGGGCGGGAGCACATGGAAATAAGCGAACTAATCGCACGAATTGAGCGAATTGAAGTAGTTTACCGAATTCAACGAATTAAGCCAATTGAACTTCATGGAACCCCTCCCCAAGACAAGAGAGGGGGGGCAGTGACTACTACTAGTGGCTGCCCGTACTTCTGCACTTTGCTCGGAACTGAAGCGACTCTTGCAGAGGGTAGCCCTGAAGCCACCGGCTCTGGCAGCGGTTCTGCAGCAATGGCCGGTCAGCGGAAAGTTCCAAATTCATAATCAAACAGCATGGGAGCCACTGACGTCGAGAAGCCGTGCGTCTCTACTTGCCGTTGCTTGTCCCTGGTGGCAGGTTCCTGCTGCTGCGATCCTGACTCCGCAGCTTGCTGAAGGCTGCAGATTCTATTGGAACGACACACACACATACACCACATATCACCACATCCTACACAGAAAATACCAAACTGCCCTCCTGTGACTGTCATGCAGCCCCAACACCCTTTGAACCCGTCCATGCCACCCACCACCGCCGCCATCACCCCGAAAGCCCCCCAAAAAGTGAGGAGCCCAAACCCTGAACCTGAAACGTTTCAGTGTAGGTTTTAGGGTTTGAGGTTGCCAGCCAAATTCCCTCAACCCAGGGAGCTCAGCTTTTCTCACGCCATTGCTTGTGAGGCATCCGTCCGGAGGGCCTTGCCAGGGGTTCCCAGACGCTTGGGGCTCATAGCCGATGAACCCTGATTCAATGTTTAAGTGGTGTCGGATATCGGATATTGTCTAGGAGCTTTTATCGGCGCTTCCTTGTACCCCAGAACAGTATGTACCTGTTACCTTATGGAAAGGGGTCTTGTAGCCCGCGTCGTAGGACTTTCCCCAAGGTCCTCCACATCATTCAGTGCGTAGTCAGAACGAACCCTTGCTTTCCTATGGCCCAAATCCCAACTTGCAAGGTTGGCCACTACAACTTTGTCTAAGGGCCTCACCTTAGGCTTTATAGGGTTCCGGAGGATACTTCCCCGGGTTTCGTGTCTCTTCTGCGCGGGAGGTATTGCCAAAAATCTCCACGCCAACACTTCATTCTCGGACATTTGGGGGCTTCGAGGAATTAGGGGCACCCTATTGGCCTATAGTCATAGCAGTTAGAAAGTATCCGTGGGTACATATGGGGTATACTCTAACAGTAAACGCCTGCTGAGCCTCCCTCCGCCAGGCTTCTTCTTGCAAGCTTGCAGGCTCTCGTGGACTACTGTCTTTAATCGCAGCATAATATGACCCTAAACCCTAAACCTCAAGGTATGTGCCAATTCTAGGATTGTCATCTGGAGGCTTCGCGTTTGTGTCACGAACTGGGCTGGCGATGCGATGTGTTCCTCCGTCGTGGTCCTGAACCTGAGCCTGATTTGGCTTAGACTAACCGTGTATGTAGGGCCCTAAAGGGTTTGAATGCTCCACGCCTACAGCCAACCTTAAGCATCCAACCCGAATGCTGACAAAGACTCACTCGCTCTCTGTGGCCACTGTTCGACCTGCCAGGGCTTCTTGGATTCGGGAGACTCTCGGTTTCAGGATTGGGGTAGATTACGATGTGTTTAGGAAAGGTGTAGGGCTTACAGACTTCAAGACAAGATGCTTGGCCACAGGGCAATGCAAAGCACCTGAAACCAGCCTAAGCCCCGCCAGAAAACTTCCAATGTCAAACCCTAAGCCCTGAACCTGCGAAGGCTGAAATCAAGGCCTGTGGCACCAAACAACCTTACAAACCCTAAACCCTGAACCCACCATTTGGAGGTGTAGATCCAAGAAGGAGAACTTGCCTTTCAACATCCGTAAGCCACAAAGCCGACAAGGGAAATCTGGACACCAGGCATCAACGTATTTTCGACAGTTTATTTAGGGTTTGGGGTAAGATTTTAACGGTGTTTGGAGAAAACGTGGTCAGACTTCAGAGTGGAAACTGCCTCCGGCTGCCGGAGCCAAAGTGGGTGTGTGGGGGGGGGGGGGGGGTTGCTCTACATTCAGGGCGCAGTTGTACGTTTTACCTACGAGGCACCTTCGTTTGACTCCCCAAATCAACAGCTTTACGCCTAGAAAACCCAGGGGAATGAGACACGCCTGGAAACACCACCGAATCCGCGGAAGGCTTCAGGTTCATCTGCGCCAGGTTTGCATCCTAAGCCCAGGCCGTACAGCGTAGGGCTTTGAGGGTTGTTAGCTATGACTAATGACAATAAACATTAATCATGGGGCTGCTTTCGCTTGCCAAGTAATAGCTTCTGGGCGTTCGATGCCTGTCATCTCTGGGGCTCCGTGAGTGCAACACGTTGCTGCCGAGGTCTTAATATTCTTACCGGCTTTGGGGTACCTCGTTGCATGCTCGGGGACAGGCGCTTGCAACTGAATGTTCCAGGGGTCTTTCGAGAATCGATCTTGTGCAAAAATTACAGTTCACCATAAACGTTGTTATGTAAACCGGAATAGGTATATAAGTGTATGAGTGATAAACCCTGAGGGCAAGCAAGCTATCAAAACCCCAAACACTCTTCAAGCCCCCGTAGCCCCAAAACCGAAGCAGCCTTGCCCCCCAAAACCCCAACTCAACCCTGTACCCTAAACCGCAAACCCGAACCCTCAAACACTGCACCCCAAAACCCTATATAAACCCCAAACCCCTACACCAACCAAAAATTTGCCCGTTGCCCCCAGGAAGCTGTCCGGGATCCTACGCCACTGCGCCGTTGCCGGCAACGCGCACGGCGTTGAAGTTGACCCAATCTGCCTTGAGGGTTCGGGGTTTGGGGTTAGGGTTGAAGCTTTAAGGGTTTAGGGTGCATCTGTTTAGAGTTTTGGGTTCGGGCTTAGGGTCTACACCGCTAGACCTTTAGCTTGGTCCTGGTTTGGGATACAAAGTAGATTTGTTAGTGCTACTATCCCTCAAAAGACACCTCGGATATGCACTCACCAGTATTTACAGAGCCCTATATACACTCACCAGGCGTGCGAGGCAGGAAGGATAGAGTGCGGAGACGAACCGGGAGATGCGCCGGCACCGGGCGGGGGGTTCGGTTGCTGGTTCAGCGTTCGGGGTTTAGGGTTCTAAATTTCAGGGTTTATGGGTGGGTCTTTGCTCGCCTGATCAGAACCGAAGATTCACGACCGGACGTAAACTGTTGAAGTGTAGTACCTGTACACGCCTGGCCGAAGCTTACCTTGCTGTTTTCCTATTGCTTGTGCGCCCAAAGTGAGGTCATGAGCACATCTTTATGCATGCACAGTTTCGCATAGCAAGGTGCCAAGCTTTATCAAATAACACAAACTTCACGTTCTTCTCTTTGTTTGCTTGAAAAAAGCTCCGCGTTCGTGTGTGCCTGCAATGGATTCGGATTCAGGGAAGGTGCGCAGTCCAGTGTTTCCTTCCGTGCCTGCTGACACACATTAGCAGGTTGTGAGCGCAACGCTTGGGCAACAGCACCACCGTGACTAAATGGAGAGCGCCACACCCATGCGCCGAACAAGCAAGGTACGAGCCTATAGGACCCCGAGGCAGACGTACACCGGATGCGGAGTGGTTTGACGCAGAGTTTGGGAGTGGATGGCCCAGAGAGACCTGGAGGAGCTTTGCAAGAGTGTCGACGGCAAGGCGTGATGATGATGATGATGATGATGATGATGATGATGATGATGATGAGGCGCCGAGTGTCAGCCGCAATCTGCTTTTGTCAAAGTTAGGCATGGAAGTGAACCATGCGTGCAGTGACCAAGGCTTCTCCAGAGGTTCAGCGGGGTGCAAGCTCAATTACCGACTGCATCGCTTCCCGGGAGGGATGGCCTTGCGCAACATGCCACTGTTGGGGCAGCGAGTCGTGATGACTCGCTGCTAGTGCCGTGCAAGTCACCCCAGCCCAACATGGACAGGCAAAATGAAGCCATCGCTGCAGAGAGGAGGCAGCGTGCTCTGTAACTTTTGGGGCTATGTGAGGATGATGATGCAGCACAGGTGTCACGGGCCAGCCATAACCCTCCTTCCGGAAGGAATGGGCACGTGCAGGATCGCCATGTTCAGACTGCGTCTTCCGGTGGGGGTTCGGACTCTGCAGTCGGTGAATGGGGTATCCCCTTAACCACGGAAAACACATATACCGTAAAACAGATTAAGGATCCCCTATATACTTCAAGGTATATTTCCAGAATTAAGGGGTTCTGGGTTCTCTGAGCGACGTCTTTCCCCAAAACTTTGTTCCAAGTCCTACATTCTAGGTTTCAGGCTTTCAGGAGAGGCGATAAGGAAGCTGAGTTGAAGGTTAACCCTAAGCACTGAACCCTAGGCCCTGAACCCTAAACTAAAGCAGGGTTGGGTCTAGGATGTCTAACGAGAGTCTAGGGTTTAGGGAAAGGCCCAACCCTAAGCCCTAAACCCTGGAAACCCGAAGGCCCGGGAGCCCCAAGGTCCCCCAAGCCCGAAACCGCCCCCGAATCCGAGAATCCCGAGAAGTCCATTTAGGGTTTGGGCTTTAAGGTTTAGGGTTTAGGGGTTTCGGTTGCCCCTACAGTTCAAAGCCCTAAAAACACTAGTCGGACCCAGAGTAGACCCTTATTCCCCTCTTTTTGTAGGGCAGAGGTTCCCTTCGAAGCCCCTTGAAACCCAAAAGGGCACCCTTTTGATTCCTAGATTCCTCTTGGTTGTCGACGAAGCACCCTAGACCCGAAAACACCCCTGC